CGAGCGTCCCCGTGTGAGTATCCCTGTCCCCATGTGATGGTCCTCTGTGCAAGCGTCCCCGTGTGATAGTCCCTGTTGCGAGCGTTCCCATGAGATTATTTTTCGAGAGTGTCCCCGTCCCCCTGTCAGCGTCCCCGCCACTGTGCAAGCGTCCTTGTGTGAACACTGTTAGACTTAACTTTTAGTTTGCAGTGTCTCTGCATAGCCTACCATCGGTCAGCCAATCAAAAGGCCCCACACTCATCTGCATTCAGTGGTAAAATCCATTATTCTCTAGCTTGTGGGGACATTATTCAGGTCCCCAGAATATAAACCTCAATTTAAAAATCTGTGAATGTAATCAAAAAACTAAAAAATGATTAAGGTTGTCATTGTTGGGATTAGGGTTTTTCCCATGGAAATGAATGGAGAGTCCCCACAAAGATACACTATATTGCCAAAAGTATTGGGACACCTGCCTTTACACACACATGAACTTTAATGACATCCCATTCTTAATACATAGGCTTTTATATGGAGTCGGCCCACCCTTTGCAGCTATAACAGCTTCAACTCTTCTGGGAAGGATGTCCACGAGGTTTAGGAGTGTGTTTATGGGAATTTTTGACCATTTGTCCAGGAGAGCATTTGTGAGGTCAGGCACCGATGTTTGACGAGAAGGCCTGGCTCGCAGTCTCTGCTCTAATTCATCCCAAAGGTGTCCTATCAGGTTGAAGTCAGGGCTCTGTGCAGGCCAGTCAAGTTCCTCCACACCAGACTTGCTCATCCATGTCCTTATGGACTGGTGCATGGTCATGTTGGAACAGGAACAAACCCTGAAAAACAACCCCACACCATAATCCCCCCTCCACCAAACTTTGCCAGACAGAGAAGCGTGATTCGTCACTCCAGAGAACACGTCTCCACTGCTCTTGAGTCTGGGGCTGGCGTGCTTTACACCACTGAATCCGACGCTTTGCTTTGCACTTGGTGACGTAAGGCTTGGATGGAGCTGTTTGGCCATGGAATCCCAATCCATGAAGTTCTCTCTCTATTCACTGTTCAGCTAATCTGAAGGCCACACAAAGTTTGGAGGTCTGTAGCTATTGACTCTGCAGACAGTTGGTGACTTCTGCACACTGTGAGCCTCAGCATGCGTTGTCCCCACTCTGTGATTTTACGTGACCTACCACTTCGTGGCCGAGTTGCTGTTGTTCCCAATTGCTTCCACTTTGTTATAATACCACTAACAGCTGACCGTGGAATATTTAGCAGCAAGGAAATGTCATGAAGGGACTTATTGCACAGATGGCATCCTATCACAGTACCATGCTTGAATTGACTGAGCTCCTGATCATGATCCAGTCTTTCGCAAATGTCTGTAGAAGCAGTCTGCATGGCTAGGTGCCTGATTTTATACACCTGTGGCTATGGAAGTCATTGGAACACCTGAATTCAATGATTTGGAGGGGTGTCCCAATACTTTTGGCAATATAGTGTATAATTAGAAACCTGTGTGCGTGGCTATGGGTTTTTATGTTTGTCTCTGTCCAAATGTTAGCTTGTGTATTTGTGTGTGGAGTCCTCGATTTTGGCTCTGTGTGCCCAAAGGTGTGTGTGTGTGTGTGTGTGTGTGTGTGTGTGTGTGTGTGTGTGTGTGTGTGTGTGTGTTGTTTTTAGAACAACCTCAAAAACACTTTAGGATCTGTCCCTGCAAGACACTCCTTTTTTTATAGCTTAAAAATAAAACTTGAAAGACATTATCTGCTTAGTTTTTATCTGCTTGAGTATTTGTGGTTTAGGGTTGGGAATTAATTTAATTAAAATTGGAGGGAAATCCCCGCGTGTGTATAGCTATGCATAGCCTATGGCTTAGGTTTAGGTTTAGGGTTAGGCTTAGGGTTAGGGTTAGGCTTAGGGTTAGGGTTAGCTCTACGTTTATATCCCGTGGGCACGTCTTTCAGGACATCGCTGGCCTCAAACGTGGGTGTCTTAATTATTGCCATTTCCTCCAGCTCCCACCATAATGAGCGGTTTGCTCCTCTGCTCTTCAGTGTCCAGAAGCTACATTTGCATAATATGCTTCAATTGATTAGATTAAATTGTAATAACATCAAGGATGCTGACAGCTGAATGGTCTGTTTTCTGATTAACTAAATGAACTAACCTAATCAGTGGTGATAGTGCCATCTTGACAAAGAGCTGCCCGATTGCATTTGCAAACAGTTGTGTTCTCTGTTTGTATCACAGGGTAGCTCTTCTCTCACGCTTGTTTGCACAAACCCACTGCCAGATCTCCTGTTTCTGCCTCGTACTCAGTTTAAGCCTCCAGGAGTTGTGTGTACATCTTCCCAGCGCTGGGCTCCAGCTTTGGTCGGCAGGGCTGGGAGATGTGATGGCTCAAGCGGGAAGTGGGCTTCCCCGTCCTGGCAAGGGAAGTAACACTTATGGACCCAAGTTAGGCTGCTGCGTCTGCGATTGGAAGCCGGCCAGTTCGAATCGCAGGCTCTCGGAATGATGTCACCGTTGAGCCCTTGAGTAAGATCCTCAATCCCAGTTGTTCTATGCACTGGCTGAACCTGCTCTCTGAAAAATGTCCATCACTTTGGATGAAAGCATCTGTTAAATAAATAAAATGTAAATTTGACTACAGAGGGATGTATTTTCTCCCAAGGGCATGACTCACCACTCTGAACCTTTTGCTAAAGGCGCTTTTGCCAGGAAATTCAGATGTCTCTCTGAGGTGCGCAATCTCTTGTGTCCTCCTACACTTCTGCTGTCTCTATAGGGATTAATGGTGGCCCCG